GAAATTATTAAATGCGTTTTATATTGTTAAAAAATGTAACAAAGTACATTTAATGCGTACAAAATACACGTGAACATTGGAAAGATGGTATATTTATCAAAATATAAGTGTTGAGTGCTCTTTTTATATGAAAATTTGCTAGTCAAACTGCAACGAATCTAACAACAAATTAGTTAAATACTAGTTTAGTTAATTATGTACTAATAAAGTGAAAAGATTGATAAATAATGTAAATATATACGATTCTTAACATCCCCGCAAAGTTTCATGACAAAATTCGTGATAGTTTTGTGAAAACACCCAAAAACCGATGTAATAGAAAGCCAACCCCGAGCTAATCAAATATCTATAGAAATTAAGAAAGCAAGTCTGATGTAACTTCTCAAATTTCCCAGAATGTCGATTTTAAGCGTTTTTTATTAATTTGAAGTAGGTGGTCGCAGAGCAGCTTTTAAAACAATATAAATTGCTGCAAAAAAACATGGTTGGAATATGAAAGAAAAGTGCGAGCAATATTTCTCATCAATGTTATAAGCAATGCTTTTTCATGTTTTTTTTTTGTGCACCAAATCGCACCCAGCTACCGTTTTTGGTAAAAATTAATGGCGAAAATGAATTCCGGGTTCAGATTCCTCGGACCCAAACCCCCCCCAAATCCTTTTTTATGGTATACTAGTTTCATTTAAATAAATTTTAATTTTTTTAATGGTGCTTTGCGACCACTAACTTCATTTGGAAAAAAGCACCTAAAATCGCCAACCTGGGAAAACTGAGAAAATACTTTTCTATTTCCAATCCAGACTTTCAGTAAAACTTGGTTTCATCTAGTCCCCAGCCGTCTACCGAACAGTGTTATTAGTTAAAATATATGGATAAGATTGGCTCATTTTAACGCCTAAAACTCGCTCAGGATATGACGGAATTTCGATTATGTTTTCCTCTTTTCTTTTAAAAAAATACGAAAGTTATACTTAAAAATTACATTTCCATTGCGCAACTACGTAAAAAGAAGCTAAAATACGAAAAATTATATATCTTTGGAAAGTCGCGCGAAAAGATCCAATTAATCAAAGTAAGATCAAAGTAATTCTCTAAAACATGCATCTCATTTTGAGATATAACGAGACGGTACTAAATGTTTTACCAAAAACACTGGGCAACAAAAAAAAAACAATTCAAATATAATTAAACTATGTTTTGTTTTCTCTCTGACGTCAGGGATTTTTAAAAATGCCTTTGAAATTTCAAAGATATGATTAAATAGTTAATTTGTTTTTTAATTCAGTGCAATGTAAATAAAACAACAATATGGGTACCAAATGAAAGAAAAAGATCCATAAAATTAAAAAAAAATAAGTTTTTTGATTCACGCGGATGAAAAGATATTGAAAATGCCCTCCCAATTATTTTTAATTGTTTTTTAATCTAATAAAGTTAGAAGAACGAAATTCGAGAATGGGGTCGTGTGTATATTAGTCGTTTAGGGTATTCAAGAATAAAGTTTTAAAAGGATATTTTGATAATTTAAGGTGGTATTATCACTTGCGAAGCGCATTAAGGGGCAGAGAAGGTGTTAAGAGTGCTCGCGTTGCAAATAACCTTGCACAAGCTGGTACAAGCGAACACTCTTAATACACATTTTAGTTGCGTTCGCCAAAAAATTCGATTCGCCAAACTATTCGATTCGCCAAACCGTTCGATTCGCCAAACCGTTCGATTCCCCTAACCGTTCGAATCGCCAAACCGTTCGCTTGGCAAGTGATAATATCACCCTTGATATTTTTTTTTAAATTCTAAAGAACTTTCTCCTTAATTTGATATTTTTTTTGAATTTCATAATCATATCGCTAGCTTAGAGTGAAAAGTTGCTAAGTCCACTTTTTATGAAAACTCATATTTTGATAAATTACAAATGCATCCTTTCAAAAAGGGTAAAAGGCTAAAGGTCCTTCTGGTATGTTTTCTCGTTTATATTCATTGAAAGGAAAATTTACTAAGTCCAAAAAAAGCTCCGAAAATTCAATAAGGCCAAAATAGTACGAAACCTTCTAATAAAGATCGAATTCCTCTCATTCGTATGGAGTTGTGCTTTGCTTTAAACAGAAAAAATGTTCTATTCAAAGTTTTGCGAAATACTTGAAGAAATTTGCTATAAGAAGTTTTTTTTCCTCTCCTGTACAATTTTCAAATTGTGACAGCAACTTTTCACTCTAAACTAGCGATATACCGTGACTCAAACAAATGACCCCGTGTTGATTTTTTTTTGTTATTTTGATATAAAAATACCGTCCAAGCTTTAACCAAAATCACATAAATCACAGTTTCGAACTTTATACAAAATTTAGGAAAATTCAACACACTTTCATTATTTAAACTTTCAAATTTCAAATTTAAACTTTTTTATCTAAATCTTTAGAAAATTTTTGGGTATACAATTTTATAAAAATTTTAGACTACCGAACTGCAAGTTTCAACCGGCTAAAAAATCGCGTTGATTTTTTTAAATTTTTTTTGAGACTGGTTTTGCGTTTTTTTTTTATATAACAAGTGTAATTTGCAAAAACTGACGCTGATTTTCTAATTGTTGTTGCCAACGGTCTCCCGCACTTTATTTAATATGAAATTCTCGTTTATATTGTAAAAAGTGCAAAAATCCGTCACCAAAAAAAAGAAATTTAAAAAATCAGCGTTATTTTTAAGCGGCTTGAAACATGCACTTCGTTAGAGTAAAATATTATGGGCTATAAAACTGCATACCCAAAAATGTTCTAAAGATTCAGATTAAAAAGTTAAAATTTTGATGAAAACTTGTTGAATTTTCCTAAATTTTCTATAAACCTTGAAACTGTGGACGGTATTTTTATGGAAAAATAACAAAAAAATCTAGCCCGAAACACATTACGAATATTAAAAAAAAATTAACACGTGGTCATTTGTTTGAGTCACTGTTTTTTGCAAATTTAAAAACGTTTTAAAAAAACACAAAAAACGCAATTTTGTATTTGTTTGGTCCATAGTTTGGCTGGTTTGAAAAACTAACACTATTGAACGGTTCAAAGCCAAACGCAGCTAAACCGATTAGTCGATATAGCGTCGATTATATTGTTCCTTTGGAAATGTAAATTGTGAAATTTCGTATTTACGAATTTTATTTTTCCCCATCTAAGCTAAACAGGCTGCAAAAGGCTACAGAGTTCTCGTGCCGCTGGCTCACCCCTATCTATGCGAGCTGCTTTGAAAGAGGGTACATCCCGGGGGCTTGGAGGAGTGTAAGGGTCAAGTTCATCCCCAATGTAGGAAAGAACTCTCATGTATCTCCTAGGGACTTCAGACCAATCAGTCTCTCATCTTTCTTACTGAAGACTTTTGAGAGACTGATTGACCTGCACATAAGAAACAGGATTCCTCGAGAGCGTTTTAGCCTCTCCCAGCATGCCTACTTGAAGGATAGATCCGTAGAATCTGATCTGCATTCAATTGTCTAAGTCATAGAGGAGTCTCTTAGGAATAAAGATTTTGTAGTAGGTGCCTTCCTTGATATCGAGGGGGGCTTTCAATAATGTCCTACCTGGGGCGTTAATTAGAGCCATTACTAAGCTCGGAGTCGAGAGTTACTTAGTAAGGCTCATCTCACATATGCTGCCCGACAGAACTGTCACAGCGGAGTGGGGCAACGCCTCTGAGCAGCGTAAAGTGAGCAGAGGCACCCCGCAGGGAGGTGTCCTTTCACCCTTTCTCTGGATAGTCGTGACAAACGACGTCTTGAAGGAGTTGGAAAGAAGAGGATGCCGGGTTATTGTCTACGCGGATGACGTGGCACTCATCGTCATAGGAAAGTTATTGGACACTCTGTACGATCTTATGTAAGGGTACCTTAACATGGTCACAAATTGGTCCACTAGCTGCGGACTTGCTGTCAATCCTGGAAAGACGGAGCTCGTTCCTTTACCAAAATTGGTCGGGGAAAGCCTGACCTCTCTCTCAACTGCTTCGGAATACTTCCAGATCAAGCTGATTTTGGGTCTCAGGGCACAATATATCACAGGAAATTGCAGGACTTATGAACTCGCTAGGCAGGGCACACTCGAGGCCGTCACCTCGGACAGGGAGGGAATTGAAGTTCCGTTGGCAACCTGCGATCTGCTTTTGGACAGACGGGCTTACAGTTGGCACAGCGAGCGCTGGGAAAAAATCCCGACCTGCAAATTTGTTTGGTCCTTCTGGCCGGTTGTGAACCGCGAGCGGACGAGGGAGCTACTGCAGCTGGCTAAGCGCCACCGCTCGCTTCTCACAGGTGTACTGACCGGACATTGTCCTATGGGAACCCACGCGGTGCGACTCAAGATTGTCACGGATCCCTATTGCCGTAGTTGCCTGTAAGACGAGGTGGAATCATCTCAGCACTTCCTACTCAATTACCCGGCATTCGCTAGACTAAGGCCTAAGCAGCTCGGTGCGCATCTCATCAACACTCCCGAGGGACTTTCCAGAGTGGACATCAGCTGTTTGCGGAACTTTGTTGTGAGCATCCAGCGCTTCTCGTAATTTTACACAGTTACCATTCAAATGAATTTTTATGTAATGTGGTATCACAATGGACAATTAAATGTCTAAGTGAGTCCCCTTTCGCGGGCCTGTCACCTTAACCTAACCTAACCTAAGCTAAACAGGTTTTTTGCTATCAACTGTCTATCGACTTCCTTCCACCAACATCTTTATAATCGGAACACTGTGCATCGTATGGATACTACCTTTTATTCATTCTTTGGTTGATGCCCTAAAATGGCCGCCCCACAGTGTTATTTCTACCACTGTAATCAAAATTTCTAGAACCACATAAGTAGTCCTTGCAAATGTTCATTCGACGAGCATTCTTCTACGACACGCATAAATGCATACAGAGATTAGTGAAAGCTATTTAAGAGTTTGCTCCAAGCAAATTTAAGATTAAACAGCTTTTTACGTAAGAACCGTATGAGCTTGTTTGTAAGTGAACCCACCTAAATCGTTGATTTGCGTGCCATCCACATTCTCCTCCTGCTGTTGATGCTGATGCTGCAATTTGCCCGAAATGCGACAATCATTGGCTAATTCTAGCAAGTTGTTCACGGAGAATCGCTTAACATTCTCCGAATGTTTGCTGCCGTCGACATGCAGAGGATAGTTATCTTCGATTTTTGTAAGTTCATCGGGCGAACAAGTACCACCGCTGCCGCAGCGAGCAGCAGCCGATGAAGAAGCAGCAACAGCAACAGCAACGGCATCATTGCCGACGGCAATTCTATCCGCTTGCGATTGATGTGGGTGATGATGATTATGATTATGTTGGGCATGGTGATGGGGATAAAGTCGATGTTGTTGTTGTTGTTGTTGTTGCTGGTGCTGCTGCTGCTGCTGTTGCTGTTGATAGGCTGTGCCAGCGGCTGTAGCAGCAATCGCTTGATGCGGGCTCATATTAATAGCATTGGAATTGCTTTCGTTGTTGTTGTTGTTGCAATTATGCCCAGCAAATGCATTATGCTGTGTCATGCTGTGCAACTGATCCAACGATGATGCCGGCGTTGTCAGCCCACGGACACTGCTGCCACCACAATTCGCGCCACCAACACTTTGCAATGTCAGCGCTGGCATGTTTGCCATTTGCGGATAATAGAAATTGTCGGTATTAGAAATTGAGCTACTCAATAATTGCTGCATTCGTTGTGGTTGCTGTTGTTGCTGTGGTGCGTGATAGTTAAGCATCGTAATTTACACGTAAATCAAAGCGCGCGCGCACGCACGCACAGACAAACGCATAAAAGCCAACTTGCAAGGATGCTGCGAAAAGCGGTGGGCAAATGAATGCAGCGGGGGTGAGAAGAGATGCGCGTTGCAACTAATGAGTGGAAATCATTAAATTAGCGCAAATCAGTGTCAAATTTCGCTGACTGTCCTTTCGAGTGTGTATGGAACTAAACTCGCAGCGGCACACTGAAACTTCTCTGGCTGTGAGTATGTTCGCGCGCGCGTTTGTGTTTGCGCATTAATTCAATTACAAGTCAATTAATTAACAAAATTGCCGCATGGACATTTGTCGATCGCTATTGGTGACGACAGCCCAGCGCCATGGAGTAAAAATGCGCTTGAGGTGATTGCTGCTACGTCGCTAGCACTCACACTCGCACACACACACTCAGCGCCACACTGACTAGCTGTCACTTTTAATTTTGATTGGTTTTTGCATTTGTTTTATTTCTATTATTTTTCTTTTTAGTCAATTTTTACTTTCTGCGCGACTTTCACTGGCACTGACGCGTCAACGTAATTGCGCAATTTAGCAGCAAATTGCGCTTGTTCACTGCGCTAATAGCCGTTTCAGTTGAACTTTTTTTTTGTATTCGCAAACACTTGATTTTTTGGCTTTCGATTTCAATTTTCAAAACAATTTTTTTTTTTTAATTTTTCGCTACTTTTATATTGACTCAATCACAACAGCTCGTCTTGTCTTGCCAGCTGCAGCGTTGATTTCTTCTGGCGTTATTTTTAATTTTTTTTGCGCCCGTTCAAGTTCCTTTCCTTATAGGCACAAACGCTTCGGTTTTTTTGTCATCAATTTGATTCTTTCGCGTCCTAATTCAATTAGCAAAAAACACAAATGAGTTAATTAACTTAATTGCTGCGCAAACACTAAGCAATGCCAAAGTCGAGTGACTACTGAAATTATTTTCAAATTCTTGTTGGGAAAGCGAACGGATTTGCTGCTTATTTTTTCTGCACCACCGAAACATACTACATAGTACCTCTCCACCTACATACATATGTACATTACGTTACTACTCCCCTTTTCCTGGCAAGCAAATGTGCGAGATGCTCTTGGCGTAATGTAGAGCAGATGATCTTTGCGCTGATCGGTAGTGATACACAGCACAGTATATTTACGTATGTATATATGTATGCATGAACAAATAAGACAAATCATTGCATATTTATCGCGTGTGCACCTTCTTCCGTTACTCTCACACGACAACCATTTTCTGATCCTACATATCTCTCTCTTTTTTAGTCACTTATGCTCTTCACTTTCAATGGCGTTTCTAAATTTAGTACATCTTTTCTAATTGGTTTGCTAGCTCTGCATTGGGGCTTTTTTAAATTACACAAATATTTTCTTGCTTTCTGTGTACATAG